GAGGAGAAGATGAGAAGTTTCCGTAGCGCACAAAGCAAAGGTGCCATGAACCTCTCTAAGTATTTGCTCTTACCTGACATAAAAAAGTAAATCCGCCTGCTGTCTGGGAACGGTTTTCATGTTCCTCAGCTTCTCCGAGACATCATTCATCTCATACCACACTCTGTTACTGGCCTGCAAATAAAGGCTGCCATGCCTCTAGCGCAACTGCATGCTTGGGACAGGAAAACCAGGACAGAACAGAACCACAAGTCAAAGGAGACCTGTGACGAGCACTTTCCCCTGAAGAACAGTGCTTGCCAGTCACGTGCTGGGGCAAGCTTCCCTTCCCCAGCACAGATTCTGCCCTGCAAGCAATGCTACCTTGGTGAAGCAGAAATAGTGTCCTGCGCGACCGCCGGCACCGCTGTGCACCAGGATACGCGCTGTGCGCTCGCATACACGAGTAGAGGACGGGTTCTCCAACTGGCTGAGACATTTATGCTCAAGGGTCCAAATACTCGGGATAGCTCACATCCTGAAGACAGAGCAGAAAGAAGCAAAAGTCATCCAGAAATGCTTTAGGAAAGAGATGGAGAAAAACACTTCTAAGAACACCGGGCTGGAAGCTTGGACAGACATTTCTGCTTCTTCTGACGTCGCCCTTCCCAGAGGCAACATTTCACCACTTCCATTGCAGAATCAGTGCAAAATTAACAGGCTGGGAAGGCAAGGTGGAGGAGGTAGCCTTTGCGTGAGAGAGTAACTGGAACATATGGAGCTCAACACAGGGGAGGATGAAGCACGAGTCGGGAGCCTGGGGGTGAGGATTAAAGGGCGGGCCAGCAGGGGCAAGGGCTGTGGGTGTTTACTAGAGGCCTCCCGACCAGGGGGATGAAGCGGATGAGGCCTTCTGCAGGCAGCTGCAGGAAGCCTCACGAGCACAGGCCCTGCTCCTTCTGAGCGCCTCCATCCCCGCTGCTGCCTGCTGGGATGAGCACAAGGCTCGGGACAGACAGCCCAGGAGGTTCCTGCAGAACACTGCAGATACCTTCTTGATGCGGGTGGTAAATGAGCCGAGAGGGGAGCTGCTAGACGTGATCCTAACAAACAGAGCTCATCTAGCTGGATGTGTGCAGGCTGGGGGGAGTCTTGGCTGCAGGGCTCCCCTGGCCTTGTGCACAGGGAGGCCTGGATAAAGGCTCGTAGGGCCCTCCCGCTCCCACTGCGCGCGGAGGCCCCAGGAGGCCACACGAGAGCCCGTAGGGCTCCCACCGGCCTAGTGTGAATGGGAGGGCCACATGAAAGCCCATTGGCCACCCAGCCCAGTGCGCACGGAGGCCCCGGAATGCCGTACCAACGCCCGAAGGTCCCCGACATCCCTGTGCGCACGCAGGCCCCAGGAGGCCTCACAAAAGCCCATAGGGCCCTCCCAGGCCCAGCGCACACTCAGGCCCCGGCAGGCCACACAAAAGCCCATACGCTGCACCCGGCCCAGCCCGCACAGAAGGCCGTAGGGCCTGCAGGCCTGGTTCGCATGGAAGCCCTGGGAGGCCACACAAAAACCCATAGGGTCCCCTGGCCACATGCGCACGTAGGCCCTGGGAGGGCACACGAAAGCCTGTAGGGCTGCACGAATTCCCATCGGGCTGCCCCGCCCAGCACTCAGAGAGGCCCCGGGAGGCCGCACGAAAACGCGTCGGGCCCGCCCGGCCCTGTGCGCACGGATACCCCAGGACATACGAAATCCCGTAGGGTGCCCCCGGCCTGTACGCAGGGAGCCCCGACAGGCCACAGAAAAGCCCGTAGGGCACGTCCAACGCAACGCGCCCAGAGGCTTTTGGAGGCTGCACAAAAGCCCGAACGCTGCACCCAGCCCAGTGTAGAGAGAGGCCCTTGGAGGCTCTACGAAAGCCCATAGGGCCCCCCCTGCCCAAGGTGCACAGAAACCCTTAAAGGCTGCACAAAATCCCATAGGGGCCCAGTGCTCACGGAGGCACTTGCAGGCCGCATGAAAGCCTGTTGAAATGGAGGCCCCGTGAGACTGCACAAAAACCCATAGGGCCCCTCCGGCCCAGTGTGCACGGAGGCCCTTGGAGGCCGCACAGAAGGCCGTAAGGCCCACCAGGCCAGGTGCACACGGATGCCCCAGGAGCCACTACAAAAGCTTGTAGGGCCCCCCCAGCCCACTAGGCAGGGAGGCCCTGGTAGGCCGCACGAAGCCTGTAAAGGATCTCCAGCCCAGCGTGCATGGTGGCCCCAGGAGGCTGCACAAAAGCCTGTAGGGCCCCCATGGCCTAGTGCATACAGAGGCCCTTGAAGGCCGCACAAATTCCCATAGGGCTGCCCTGCACAGTGCTCACAGAGGCTCTGGGAAGCTGCACGAAAGCCTGTAAGGCGTCCCCGGCCCAGAGCGCATAGAGGCTCTTGGAGGCCCTACGAAAGCTCATAGGAACCCCCGTCCAGTGTGCACAGAAACCCTTAGAGGCTGCATGAAACCCCATGGGGGCCCCCAGGCCCAGTACGCACAGAGGCCCTTGGAGGCTGCACGAAAGCCCATAGGGCCCCACTGCCCAGTGCGCGTGGAGGCCCCAGGAAGCCGAACGAAAGCCCGTAGGAACCCCCCCGGCACAGTGTGCACGGAGGCTTTTGGAGGCTGCACAAAAGCCTATAGGGCCCCCCTGGGCCACTGCACACAGAGGCCTTTGGAGGACATACGAAAGCCTGTGGGGCCTCCTTGACCCAGTGCGCACAGAGGACCGCAGCCTGTCCCTCTGCTTGCAGCTCATCAACCCCATGGGACATTAATAGCTCTTCCACCCTACAGAGGAGCAGGTTCAGTCGTTCCTTGCTGGTATGGGACTGGCAGTAATGAATCCCTCACTAAGTTAATTACCCAAATCGCATGTTGAACCTGTAAGGAGCAGGGGACCAAAGCCCACCCCAGGGCCGCGGTTATGGCTGTGGGCCCAGTTTGGCTTTCACGTGTCCCAGCTCGCAGGATCCTGTGCCGGGCGGGACCATCTCGCCTCCACCCGGGGCTTGTGCTGCCCCCTGCAGGCTGCTCCGGGACTGGCGGGGCTTTGACGTGTTTTCCCCCCAAAATGGGGGAAGTTGATTTGGAGAAGGGGCCCGGTACAGCCCTTGGGGTTTATGTCTCAAGTCTTCATGTGGACACCTAAGAGCCGAGACATGGGGCACCGTGCGGCTCTGACGCATCCCCTGGGAGAACCGGAGCGGCTGCTTTTCTCCTTTGCCCCACGCTTGCCCTGGGAAACCTCCTGCCCGGTCCTGCTGGAGCGGCGCCTCTCCCAGCCGGTCCTGCTCCCCCGCTGGCGTCTCCGCCAACGCAGCTCCTGCCTCCACTATGGAGCCGGCTGCTCTCTGCGAGTTAGAAACCTTCCCCCTGGAGTGTCAGCTATTCCTGCCACTCTTCAACATGGTCTGTAAACTTCTCCTTCATGAAGGTGGCCTCGGCTGCCAGCTGCCCTGCGAGGCTGGGGCTGAGTGATGGCCCTGCTCCCCTGTCCCGCGCGGCTGCCTCCTTTTGCGACGCGCAACCCTGGTGCAGCCGGGAGCTGGGGCGGGCAGAGCACCCCAGCTCTGGGGGCTGGTTCCCTGGCGCCCCATGTCTGCCGTGTGTGGCTGCTTGTGGGGTGGAAGGAAGCTATTCCAGCAGGGAAAGCAATGCAGCAGGTGCAGGGATGGCCACGCAGCCCTGCATAGCCCCCCTCTTTCCCCATTGCCTGATGTCTCTAAGCCCCATGTTAAAATAACTGTGGGGGCCAAGGGATCACTCCCTCGCAGAACACACTGCCTTCGCCCTCCCTCTCCTCTCCAGAAGGAAGGAAACCCTATCCCCTGCCCTAGATACTCTGCTTGGGTTTCTCGGGGCTATTCTTGGCACGGGGCTCCATTGCCTTAAGCATTTCCACTGCGCTCTCCATCCCTCTTATTCCCTCCCTTCCTCTCTCCGTTCTTCCTGTCGTCCCTGTGCCCTTGGCTGCCGCGGTGCCTCCGCTGGGCGCTGAGGATGGAGGCCACGGTGGGACACGGCTGGATTAGTGCAATCGCTCATCTGCATTCGCTGCCCTCCCCGTCCTGCGCTGCTCCTCCCTTCCCCAAACTGCTCCTGGAGGGGACGCGCCGCGCGGAGCCCGGCCGCCTGCCCGGGCACGGGTAGCAGCGCACCTGGGTGAGTACCGGCACGGCGGCTTCCCCGGAGCCGGGGGCTCTCCTGCCCGTCGCTGCTCCCGCATCCCGATGCTTCCCGGCAGCGCTGCTCCTCCGGCGTTTATTTCCCTAACGTCGCTGCCCTTGCCATGTCCTTCGGCAGCAGCACGGGCGGCTGAGCCAGTGGCTCGGCGGGGGATGAGATGGGAGGTGCCGGGGACACTCGTGTGTGAGCCCGGCGGTGCCGGCGGCTCCGTCCGGTGGCTGCTGCCCCGGTGCGACTCGCGGTGTCCACGCTCCACAGCACGATGCCGGTGGAGGACGGGGCCCCGCGGGAGCAGCCGGGCGTCCCCAGTGGGGTGTCACAGAGCGCGGCGCAGCGGGGGCAGCCCCCGTCCGGCGGCGGCGGGACGGAGGTGACGCCAAGGGAGCAGGCGGCCGCGGTGTCCCGCGAGGACGCCCTCATGGGCGAGC